GACTTTTACAGTTGCCCTTAATTTGAAGCCATTCGCAAGAGTTGCTCAGCGCCCAAGTGTGTGGGTTTGTGAGGCTCTCCAAAGTTACTCAAAGTTTTTCTTGCACTGTAGGTGCCCACCGCCAAATATCCCCTTTTAATTTTTTAGTATGATGCAAAGCTCCCTTATAAAAGTGAATAATTGCCACTCGTACCAACTTACTGACACCTAACACTGATCTCAACCTGGATGGTGTGAGAGTGTGTGCTTGCACACGGTAACAGCAAGCACAGATGTCAGAGAACAAGACAATAACAAGACCTTTTCCCTGTTTGTCTGTAGGATTTTTGACAGTTTTGCACTTGGGGTCATTTGGCAGAGAGGCAGGATCAGGCTTTGGGACCTCTCATTGATCGTGTCAATGACTCCATGGAAAAGGAAAAGCAAAAACAATATAAGGCTTCCCGCCAAAGTCGGCAAGCTCACATCAGCCAGCGAGGGAAAGACTTTGTGTGTAGCGGTGTGACTGTGTGAATACTTAATTAGTCCAACATGTGACTCGTCCTGCCTCTCACAGCACCGCATGTCCGTGACTGACAGCACAACCAAATCTTGAGGTGACCAAGAGCAGGGGAGGTCAAAATTGAGGGAGGGGGGAAGAAGAGGAAGCAGAGGGGGAGCTTCAGTGTGTCCACATGTCTCACGCGATCTGGAATCACCATCGCACGTCACGTGACTCTTGCTTCCATTCAGCTTGTCCTGCGTCACCTTGTAAGAATGCAACTTATCCACCAACTTGGAAGCAAAACTGTGTGATAATTTGATACTGATAAAAATCTGCTGTCATGACAGTGAAGGACAAAATGATGGGCTTAACTTTCAAAGTGAAAATTTATATGGGACCACAGCTGAACAGCAGAATCTGCCTGTCAGTCACAGTAAAGCACTGAGTCCCCTGGGCTCTTGAAGAGGAAGTTTATCTTCATGAAGGTTTTCCATCACATTACAGAAAATTACAGCATTTGTATTATGTTGTAGCACGTCTTTGTGCTTCTTGCAGCTACTCTACTCTTCACATGTTTGTTTGATTAGCCATTTTTTGCATACCAGCACTGGCTTCCAAGTCAGATAACAGTATTAAAGATGTGTATGAGTTACAGTACAATAACCTCCCCTTGTGAATTAACCACTTGTTCTTATGAAGCTTCCCTGATTAAATATGACCTGAAACCAAGAATACAATGAGAAACAAGTCCCAAAAATTTCCTGGACATTCCAGTGCTCCAGCTCCGAAGTCTGCTCTCCTCGCGTCTGCCGTCAGTTACAGTGGATCTCTGCCATGGAATTCTTTGCTCTCTTAAATTAAACCCTTCACCAGACCCAGCTGGTTCACAAAGCAGAGAGCGAGAGAGAATGAGAGGGGAGAAAGGGGGAGGAAAATGGAGGGGATGGAAAGGAGCGAGCAAATATTTCTCTCGCTTCTCATGTTTGGCTTTCTCCATTTGCTGCTATTAACACCTCATGTCTGGTCTGCACAAGCCCTTAGACACCAACTGGAGAGGAAAGAGTGAGAGGAAAGAGACAAGGATGGTTAAACCGACAGAGGAACGGTAACAGAAAAAGACTGTGCGCCGAAAATATTGTTTTGATTAATGTCTCTTGTATTCCTCTGGTCCCGAAACAGAGAATTACCTTACCTAACCCCAACGGAGAATGAGCAAGACGTTTCAGTGCAGAGATTGAAACCAGATATTTCTGTTCACACTGGCTCACATCCATCACTTGTTCTGGACTTGTGTTTGAGAACATGACTGGTGACTGAAAGTACTAGCCACACTGTCTGGCCAGTTTTAATCCAGCGTAAGTCTTCGGTTTAAATAGCTATCTGCAGGAGGCATGGCTGCCTGTCCTTCGTCACGTTTTCATTCCATTGAAAAACAAGATTCCCTCTTCTTTGCCGGAGAAGCTTTAAACTCATGTACCCACAGTGAAATCATTTTTAAACAAGCGACGGCAAATTAATCACCCACCATTGCTAGGCAATGCTCAATTATTCATAACCGCAGCACAGCAGATTTCACCTCAACAACCTGTTTGTGCACTTGCCACTTCACAGCACAGAGCCAGGGGTCTTTTCTCAATGGAAACTGGCTGGCAAACAGTGTTTCTGTCACATTTCTTTTTTTCAAGGTATCTAAATGGAGGAAACTTTGATGCACTGCTGCGCCGCATCACTTACCTTCCAGTTTACTTGGCCCCCTGTCCTCCCTCCTGTGTTGTATTGGGTTTCTGTGCCGTTTAGAGCACAGGCCTTCTTTGGGTTCTTTTGTCTAAGGTCCAAATGCAATTGGGGTTTCAAGTGGTCTCTCGAGCTTTTTATTACGACTCGAGAGTCACTGAGAAAATTCGGAGCTGTATTAATGTACAGAAGTCCTTCAGCTTGACAGTAATCAGCCAAATATTTGGAGCGGCACCAAAGAAAAATGATGATTTGATATCAGGGTAACGGTGCAGGCTTTCCAAGTGTGCAGACCATGACAGCAAACAGCAATGGTGTGGACTCCCGCTAATGCGTGAGCTAAGTCGGGTCTATTTGTGTGAGCTGACGTGCTGTAATAGTAGTAGTCCAACAAAAGCCTGCTTGTTTGGACTCACAAGATGGTGTAAATATAGCTAAACAGAGGGCTTTTGTACAAAACTCAACCCTCCATCTCCCAAAGACACAATCAGTGGATGAATGCCAAACTGCCAAAAGTCCAGATTTTGTTAGCGTGTCCTCTCTCTTTGAGCTCAAACATACACAACCTCCAGGGTAGCTTTTTTAAAACTGTAAAGCATTGTATTTTCCTACGCTCCAGTGATGTCAGAATTACAGAAAACGAAGCGTTTCTTCTTTTCTTTCTTCTCTAAACTTTGCCTCTGCCCAAGGCCTGCACTCATACCCTCTCGCTCACACACACACACACACACACACACACACACACACACACACACACACACACACACACACACACACACACACTCAGAAGTATTCTGTGTGTCTGGATTGTGTCTCATGATCTCAATCAGACAGTTGAGCTCAACCTGGCAGATGCTGGACAGCCTTTAAAACCGCTGCCAGGTTGGGCTGTGCATGTGCGAGCACAGGTGGGCCAGATGATGGATGAATAAGCTAAAAACCTCCAGGGTCCTACCTGTCTTCACTCTTTTCAAGTCTTTGGTCCCCACTAACATGCAAAAGCCTCCTCTTGCTGTAATCTCACACCTACAAACATGCCTCAGATTGGCCAGTGAGACAGTCCAGTGCTCTTAGTGTAAAGGAACACATCAAACCGGACCTTTAACGCTTCCATTTTTATGCCAGTTCTTTAACATTTCTGGTGTGCATTGCTTACTGATAAGCTCGAGACAAATAATTCCTCGTGTCAGCCGAAGACACATTGGGAAAAGGAAAGCCCAGGATCAGAGAGATTTATATAAGAATTGATTACTTCGAGGTGTGGCTGGGGATGGTTGAGCAATCGAGGGGAATCAAGCTGAAAGCGTTGAAGGAGATGAATTATCACAAGGACGCTCAGCTTAGCCTTTGGACTCATATTGCATGCTAAGTCTAGTTGCCAAACCCTTTGCAAGGCCGATGCCCACATTTGTTTTGACTCAGTCATGAAACTTTACTCTCCATCTTCCCCTCTGTCTCTCGCTGCACATTTCCCACCCTTTGTCAGTATCATTACCTGCACCCCGCGGCTTGCTGGACCGACACCAGACCTCCCGCCCTCCACTCCGTATCTCGCCTTCTCTCCCCCCTCACTCAGCTCATTTCCCATGCTTACTCGTTCTCACCCCGAGATTATTTTTTGGCGTACAAGCGTTGATGAAAATAAATTCCTTGGTCGACTAGCCCATTGGCAGCATCCAAATTTCTTCTGGTTTCGAAAACAGTCATTACTCCGACCTGTTTGTCTCTGATAAAAGAATTTGGTTAACTCACAGCTTCTTTTAATTCAACTCTGTGAAATACAGCTCTGACATTAATGTTCCTAACATGTTTTAAAACATCCATTCCCATATGTTAACGCCAAGTAATAGGCATTTATCACTTTGGCAGTTGTCTGGAGATACTTAAGTTCAACATAATGCATCTAGATGTGAATAAAATTACACCATCTTGAGGGTTTTTTTTTCTTCTTCTTCTTTCTGTTTAAATTATAGCATGTTTTGTATCTTAAGAAATCTAACATATAAAGTTAAGCAGGGATTTTATAATCTATTAAATTACCTTTTTTCCCAATGATTTAAAGCCACTAAATTCAAGCAATCTAAACCTTTGTCTGACTGTACTTTCCAGTGTTGAATTTTCTAAATATGCTTTCTTAAGAGTCAGAGCTGAGGCAAAGCAGAATCTGTTTTCTGGAGCTTTTTTAATACCGGTACTAATCTAGTCTCTTATGATCAATAGGCAGGTGGCGAGCATTTTTTCTTTTGCTCTTTCCCCACGTTCTTCTCACATTGTTTGTTCCTGTCTGCTCGCAGGGATGTGGCTTTATTCATGTGTCAAGTGAAGCCAAAAAGATTAGTTTGGGTATTTAGGGGCTCAAAAAGTGCAGACTGCTCCATCCAGTGTTTAGAATTAAACATAACCAGATAGGGAACCAATTTTTTTTATGGTATTTCTCTCATGCGTTTTAGCCAGTTGGGGTCAGCTTTATCCCATGTACCCAAAGTAAAGTCCTTGGCTCTAAAAACATACACACAAGTGTTTTCAATCAGATTTAATTGGGCACACATGACATTATATCTTATGCCATGACATTTATTTTTTTTACTGTATGGTGCGCTGTACTCACAGGTCTTGGAAAATGTTTGAGTGATGGCTTATTTTTCTTTAGGAGTAACTACTGCTGGGTAAACCACATCTAACTCATTATAGCCACATTGAAAGAAAACTGTGTGCTTTTCTTTAATTTGTTATCATCTACACACTACACACGTTTGTGAACTGTCACTTTTTTATCATCCAGGATATGGAAATCTAGGAGGTGGCGGCCTGGGGCCTGGAGGCTATGGAGGAGGTGAGCTGAAACTAGAACAGCTATGTGTATGTTAAACACCGGGGCAAAAACTCACTAACCTTTAACCTCTTGTGTCGCTTAGGTGGCTACGGGGGCTACTATCCGGGAGCTGGATCAAAGGCTGCTAAAAGCGGTAAAATGCAGGGCAGAAAATGTCTTGGTAGAAATGTAACATCGGCGGCTAATAAAAGAGTGACGGCATCAGCGAACAATTTTTCCTTGATTTCTCATTAAGTGCAGTGGAAACTGGAGGTTCATCAGATATGATTATGGGATATTGGCTGTTGGAACGAGACACCGTTTATGTTTCAATTACTTGTTTTGATTACTGAAGCGATATTATGCTTCTTTTGAAATTCAGTCCTGATATCTGAGGTCTAAAAATGCCTCAGGACTTTAAGGTCTGAAGTAACTTCCAGGATTACAGTGAAACATTCCTGCAGAGGTGGAATGAGCTTGTCTGCCATGTGAAAGCTTGTTGTTAAACAGAAACATTGCCTCCCTCTTATGTTAAATCTGTTTTGGTTTGGATAATTGTAAACTGACATTACCGATGTCACTGTAATCTGTTAGGTTCTGTCCACTAAACAAAAAAACAACACGCATTCACAGATGAGGCTCCTGCATGGATCTGAAGTGCATCTGAAATTCTGGTTGTCCTGCTCACAGGTGCAGGAGGCAAACTCACGTTTTGGCCCGTTGACAGACTACTGTACAGACCAGACTGACACTGACTGAAGCGTTTTGAACTCTGAAAGATCTGCATGCTCAAATGTTAGGAGAAAGCCAAAGTGAATGTTTCACATTAATGGTAACTCGGCATGGAAACAGTTTGGCAAACATGCGTACATTTTTAGCATGTACTTGCAAACCTTAGACAGTGTGAACCTCAGCAGAGCCTGGCCTGACCTGAGAGTCTGTGCTGTATTCAGACACATGATTTGCCTTAAATTAGTACGGCTGATTAAAAATGAAGTCAAGAGGGCTCAATCATGGCCAAGACTTGACTATGGCACAGAGCCTACCGTTAAGTATTGATTGGCAATGGCAAGAATCAGTCTGTATTGTTTTCATGACACTGAAAATAACAGGTCCTTCCTCTGAAAGAGCACAGATAAAACAAAACATTCCCTTGCCAGAGTTTGCCTCACCAGTTCCCCCAGAACGCATACTTACAGGCAGTGCGCAATGTCTGTCCAATAAAGTGTGTGGACTTTAAGATAAAAAAAAAATTAACCAAATAAACCATTGTGTTTTATCCAGCTGCCAAGCTCCCTTGAAAGTGAAGCTGACAGCTCATTTCCTGCAGGAGGGGTTAGCCAGCGAAATGAGGCATTTGATGAAGTGAGGAAAATGCCATGCATGCTGGCTGCCGTTTCTGATTAAAGCAAAAGTCAAAAGCCATGTTGCTTTTGGTCACGGGGGTGATGATAAACTGCAAGGCCCAGATTAGCTGCTCTCATTACTGCTGACCAGCAAGCGGACCTGCCACAAGCCACAAAGCGACTCATTGCTCATCTTTAGTGGCACAGGGCCCTCTAGTGGTGTTGGGATGTACAACTTTACAGTGGTACAAAGCATCTTATTGGTGTCAAAGACTAACACTGAACTGAACGTGACTTCAAATGTATGTTTATGTCTGCATATGAACAGGGGTTGGAGGAGGAGGAGGTCCTGGAGTCCCTGGAACTGGACCTGGACTGCCTGGTGGAGGCAAGGCACACACCTCATATCATTTTCCACCTTTTCTAATTTTTTTCATTTTATTTTAGCTCTGGTTTCTCGAGTAAAATTGAAAGCCAGTCTTACTTTTGTTAGGTACTCACTAGAATAGATTGTATATAGTACATTTTCTAATATATAATAGTAAGAAAGAAAGGAATCAGCTGTGTGAAGGGGCAGAAATCCCAGTTTGGCCAGGATGTGTGTGTTCTGGACACTGTCTTTTTCACACTCCTTTCTTTAAGCAAAATAATATTATGGCTTCTTTTCTTTGTTTTTTTCAGCACCTGTTATTCCTCAGACCGGCCTTCCTGGAGGTGGTGGCGCAGGAAAAAAAGCTGCCAAAGTGCCAGGTTTTGTAGACTCAACAATAAACTCAGAGTGAAGACAGACAGGATGCAGCCCACCAGGCAGTGCAGCCACATCAAAAATATTTTCCAACAAAACATATAAATCTGCAAAAAAAAACCCAGAAAAGCTTATATAGACAGTAGTGTGCAAAAGTCTTGCGTTACCACTCGTTTCTTTATATTTTGCTAATAAAATGCGAAACATGCGCAGTAATTTATTAAAACATGTCCAAACATACATGAAAATATAGGATATAGCGTAAAAACACAGAGATCTTGAAAGTCAGTTGTGGTATGTCCAGCTTTATACTTTGGCACAGCCTGAACTCTTAGTCAAAATTTCTTGTAATTTCTTGTAATTTAAAAGTAACCTTCAGAAATAGTTCTGAAGGACATTCAGAGCTCTCCTCTGGATGTTGGCTCGCTTTTGTTCCATTCTCTGTCAAGATGATTAATGTTAAATAATGTTGAGGTTTGGGCTCTGAGAAGCCAATCCATGACTGATAATACTTCATTATTTGTTTTTCTATTCACATATGCTTCTCCTGCCTTAGCAGTAATTTGGGGATCACTGTCATGAAGCCAAATGAAGCCATTCCCAGTCAGACATTTTCCAGATGGTATTGCACAGTGGATCAAAATCAGACTCTTCTGCTTTGATAATTTCATAAGGTTTAACAGGATTCCCAACCCCACTGGCTGAAAAGCAGCTCCAAACCTGTGTTCTCCTGACCTGAACCAAAAATGTCTTATTTTGAATTATTACTCCATATAAGACCAGCCCAGTTCTTGTGTAGTTTAGCATACGTCAGTCTTTTCTCAGTAAACATCATATCTCAAAAGACGTCACCAGACATGACTTCCAGTTGCTGTTCATCTGCTGTAGATAAAGTTTTAGGTCTGCTGGTTCTTTTTTTGTCTTCGTCTTCCACTTGTCCAGTTTCCTCACTGTTTAAGGACACACTGCACACCATGCTGACACATGCCAAGTTTTCAGTTAGTAGCTCTTTGAGAATCACTTAGTTGCTGTAAAAATACAAGTTGTGTTGTCTTTAGAAATTTGTTTTTACAAATTCAGCTAAAGAAATGGGAATGTATTGAGTGTTTCTGTGACGGGTGATAGTAACAAAGTCCCTAAAGATACATTTTAAAATTGATTGTTTGCTACACACTGCACTGATTCATTCATTGAATTAAGGACTTCTTTCTGCTTGGGCGGTTCATAGGTGATTAGGTGCTTTAAAAAACAAAAAACATTCCTCTGAAAACAGTCAGGTGCAAGACGTGAACTGAAAATGAAAGATGAAGAAGTATTCCCTGCTTTAAAAAAATGACAAGAAAGCGCCTTAGAAGCAAAATATCGTATAAAGACCTGATGGGATGCTCAAGACTTTTGCACAGTGTTGTACATAAAAGCAAAGGATTATCGCCTTAGAAAACAGCAAATCAACATTCTTTCAAAAGAGAAGTCCCCTGATAATAAATGTAAAGGCATTTTTACATTGCTGAAATAAATTTAGATGAAGGTGAGCTATCAGTGTATACAGTATAATTCATTTAGTTATAGAGGTGAATTCAATTTGTATCAACCAGGCAAAGGCTCAATGTGTAAGCCTTTTCCGCTTCCCATTTGGCTTCTTTTTTTTTTTTGTGGTTTTCGGACATCTAAATGTTTACCGTCAACACTGCTGTTGATCCCTCACATATATTTAAACATGGGTGTCTTCTCATTGGCTGTGGCAGGTGTGGGTGTACCTGGCCTTTATCAAGGCGGACTGGTGCCTGGACAAGGTTTGACTCTTTCATATATTAATCTGGGGAACTTTTACTCCTTTGTTAGTTTCACCATGCAGACTGTCAGTCATTTAAAGACAACTGCAGGAATGTCTGGTTTCTTCTGTCATCTTCAGGGTTTGGTGGACGTGGAGTTCTGCCTGGAGTGCCCACTGGGTCTCAACTCAATCCCAAATCAAGTAAGTTCAAGTTTTTACTCATGGGTGTCAGCTGATTTATTTTCAGTTTTATTTCATTGCCAGTGAATCCCAAAAATAGTAAATACCAGCTCTACAAAGGCTTACACTACTGACAATCCTTCACAGACAATATTTGTAGAGTTCCCAGTGTAAGACATACTAAACAAATGTAGATGAATAAGTAAAAGTGCTGGTGTGGGTCCAGAGAGTAATGCCGTAGCACTGTGATGCATGGTTCCAGTGTGCTTTGCTTCGTCACTGCAAAAATCTTCATGTGTCTCACTGGAATATCTCATTTTTCTTATGTAGTTGCAGGAGGAGTAGGAGGAGGACAGCAAGGTAACTTTATCAATGATTGTTTGTTATTGTACAAGTAAATATTTCTGGGGGGGGTTTATCCACTCTGTCTGCTATTATCCAACCCAGATTTAAATGTTTTTCTTCTTCACAGGTGTCCGTGGGTATGGGGGACCAATGCAGCCAGGAGTGTTCCATGGATACCCCCTCAAATCACCCAAAGTACAAGGTGTGACATGAAATTATTCAGTGTTTGCATTAATTCTTCTGCAGGCATGTGGCATAATGTATAATTTTGTGGTTTAAACCCTGCTAATGTTAAATAACTTTAACATCAGCAGGATTATTATTATTATCATTTTGCAGACTACAGTCTTACTTATCTTATACTTAACTGTACTCTAAGATTTTTCTGTGGCAGGTTTAGCACTGTGTTATTCTAATGAGAGAAGAGTGTATTTGGGGTCTCAGACAGATTGCTTTTGTTTTGTTCGTCTTTCTGAAACCGAACCTTTGTGTTCAGGAGCTCGAAAAAGTTGTTTCTGTTCATCTGGACGTAGCGTTTTCAGTTTGAGAAAGGTACTGGATGAGTGAAGAAACATTTCTCCCACTGAAAACACTACGATCAGGAGAAACAGAATCAACCTTTTGTGTTGATTGTGTTCACCTGAACGTAGCGTTTGCATATGATGATGTACGCACATATAAAATAATTCCAGCCTCTGTTTTTCACTCTCTCTCTCTTTAGGTGCCTATGGAGCAAAAACTGCAGGTGGAAAACTTACGTATGGTAAAAATACGTTTATTCTTTGAAGTTAACATCTTTGAAGTTTGGTTTCAGTGGAAATTCACCATTTAGTGATCGGCGTTGTATCCATGCATCAGGTTATGGCGGCTTTAATGTTGCACCTGGACTGCCAGGAGTGCAAGGTGGCCCTGGGTCCAAGCCAGGATATCCTGTTGGAACTGGTAAAAGTTTTCACAATTTGTTTCCCTACGAGATGTGGAGTAGAGATATAGAATTCACTTTTTTCCTTTTTTTGCAGGAGTGGGACTTGGGGTCATTTCACCTGGTCAGGGTAAAGTTGTTCAGTGTAGTAGTTTACCATACTGATTGAAGTAAATGCTTCCTGTAAAATCAGTATGTCTGCATGTAACTGGACTTTCTGCATTCTGCTCCATGTTTAGGTGGTACTGGAGGCTTTGGAGCTGGTGGTGGTGGCTTTGGTGGCACTGGTGGGCTGTATCCAGGCCAGGTGTCAGGAGGTACGATATCTAGCACTTGGCAAGAGAGAAAATTGCACACCAGCACACATGCTGAAAAAAGTCACACAGCTGTCAAATGAACTGTAAGATGATGGGAAAAGTAAAGATTTATTTGCAGGCCAATGAATGGAAAAAATAATATTCGTGGGTTAGCTCCATATGATCATCTTTAACACTTTCATGCATGAATTATGACAACCTCAATCAGGGTTTTCTCTTAAATATTTGTATTCATCTTTAGGCATGAAAAAAGATTTTTGAACTTAATTTTTTTAAAACATGTACTTTTCAAAGAGTTTGTTACATGTCGACTTAGGTGGACAACAGGCATTTTGACTTAGGAATTTGACACACGAATAAATAATACACTGTGTAAAAACTATAAAAATACATTTTTTTATAAAAAGATGAGAAAAAATATATATATATATATAAATAATATGGACTGAGACATAAGTGTGCAAGTGTACCATCAACACTGACACAAATACAAGAAAACAGCCTTTGAATAGCTGTCCACTATAGTGACCACTATGCATGAAAGGGTTAACTAACTAGCACAAATATTTCACACCATACCTTACACCTTGTTTTATTTTGTGCTTTTTAAAATAAATAAATAAATGTTCTTCATTTACTCAACTTTTATCATATGACTCACTATCGTTATGTTGACGACAGGGTATGGAGCTGCTAAGGCTGCCAAATATGGTGAGAATGTTTGTTTTTCCTTATCTGGAAAAAACAAATACTTTTAATCATTTTTCATACTTTTTTCATGCATTTTTTTCAGTAGAGTGAGAAAAATATAACTTAACTAATATAAAATTATGTTACATTACATGGAAAAATTATTTACATGGACAAATTACACATACGCTTTTGTCAGGAGTTCCAGGAGGTGTACCTGGGGGAGTACCAGGAGGTGTACCTGGGGGAGTACCAGGAGGTGCACCGATTGGAAGAATTCCAGCGGTTGGTGGATATTCACCAGCAGCAAAAGCTGCTAAATGTGGTATGCTTTGTGGTATGTATTTGTGGAACTGTTACAAAGAAAACGAACTAACTAATGACATTTTCAGTGGAATAACAGAACAATTCTTCAAAAAGATTTCTGTCTCACTGACTTCTAAGACCATGATTTTCAATCTACAGGCAACATTTATCACCAAATTGAAGGAAAAAATGATGGCAAAATATTTGTGGGGTGGGACCTGGCTCAAGTAGAAACATGGAGACAAATAGGGACAAATGGAGGGGGGGTGGGAGAAAATAGATCAATGGAAAAATAGAAATAAGGGGACAAGCACAAATAGGAGAATACTATCCTTTTAGCAAAGCTGAAAGCTGCTAAATGTCGTATCCTTTATTAATTGAATTTTACTATTTATTTTGTGAACTTTTTAAACATTATATCAAACTGTAACCTGTAAATGCACGTTTTTTTTAAAAGTGCATAATATTTTTTTCTATTCAAATTAGGCACAGGAGTACAAATAGGCACAGGAGGACAACTAGGAACAGGGCAACTAGGAACAGGGCAACTAGGCACAGGAGGAGGATATTATCCTGCAAGCAAAGCTGCCAAATACGGTATTATTAATAA